AAAGAAATTGGATTACGATAAAAAATGACGACAATTTTGGGTAAATCACATGTTACATAATTACTACAAAGAAGTCGAGTCATTTACTTTATACACTTATTTACGTCCGATTTCCATTCATATTTTCATTTTATGCGATGGATCACAATAGTTTTTAACTAAAATCGTGCAATTCACTGTTTTCTCGAATAAAAATTCTATTTACTGTTCGTTATCTATGATCGTTTTTGACCGCCAATCGTTCACAGTTGCCAATCAGCTAAAATTCGGTGAAGATTTGCGCAGATCACAATGCACCGTTCGATGGACAAAATTAGAGGAACTAATTTGTTCCTCGACAAAAAAGAATTCCACAAACGTGTTTGGAAATAAATGGTAAAGTATGAGATTGCGGTAAAAAGAAAAACAAACAGTATCAAACATGTCAAATCGCATCAGTCGGGGCTACTTCAGGATGAAAGATTTATGACATGGACATGGAGTTTGGAGTTGGGAGAAAATTAGGAAACACATTGTTTTGGATGTTCTTGACTACCACATGACATTCAAGTCCTGTATCATACACTATGAGGTATTTACCTTACAAATCCGATAAAAACATTTGCAGAATAAAATCGTTTGTATAAAAAGAATTTAGTAGAATTTGGTGCTGTTTCTGGTATCGCTGAAAAGAGCAGAGCCCAATACAGAACAAAACGTGATTTCTATTACCTACAACTATGACAGTTACTGAAATTTCTATTTGGTATAACTAAAAATTGCTTTAGCTACCACAACTGCCGATAATAATACTTTCCAATAATACCAAAAAAACCCTAAATGCCACTAAATAAGTCCCAAAATGATTAAAATCCATCCCGATGGAAAGGGCGCGTGGCGCACTACGAGGGTCATTACAGTAAATCAAAATTGAACTCTACTAAACTTGTTTTCGAAATTTGGGGTAAAAATAAGAAATGTTATATAACGTATAATTAAGAAAATATTTACGATATATATATGAAATTTGGTAATGTTCGTGTTAATAATTGGAAAATATGAAAAGAAAATCATACGATATTATATATACTTTTCTCTGCGTTCGAGACGCAAATATTCTATAATGCGGCAGCCAGATTTTGCTGTTCCAGTATTCTGGAAAATGTTCGTGTCATAAAACGAGAAAGTTTTGGGCGACAGCGACAAGCACTTACGACGATGTGGACCCGCGCATGGGCCCAACGCGTCGAGAGTTTTCGCCATTGCGAAATTTTTCGGCCTTGCCGCCCTCGCCAAGCCCGCCCTTACTTCAGAATTCGAGGTCGAAGGTGAGGGAAGAATCTAATGAAAATTCGAAATTCTTTGGCTTCTTCCTCCCACTCCACTTTCACGCTCTCTCCAAAGACATTTTAGAAGGAAATAAGCCTCTCTGCATAGGTTTTTCAAAATTTGATTAAAACTTCCGCGTTTTCTTTCGTTCATTTAACCTTGTATCAATTCCTATATTGTCCGATTAATCAATTATTCAATTTTTGTCTTTTCTTCTGTTCCTGTTTCTACTAAGAAAAATTTATCATCCAACTTGTAACGACTGGTTACGATAGCAATAAGAATATACAAAGTATCGGTACATGAATGCTATAGTATTCATTTTCATTGTGATGCAAAATGACACGAATGCTATAACATTGAAATTTATAAGCCACATTGTCATGAATTTAATTCTATATAGCCTTAACTTTTCGAAATTATTATGCACTTTAACCCTTGGAGTACGACATTTACATTTTTCCTACATTTGCTGCTTATTAAAATTTGTACTGTCCGCAAACGTGTTAAGAGAGCATAAGAACACCAATGACAGACGATTCTTACATTTTTTCACGAATTTCGACATCCGAATATTTGACCAAGACCTTCAAATGAACTCACGTGTTCGACCACATGTTTGGACAGGAAACATTTTCGAAATATTGGATATTTCGACAAGAATACACGGGTCACAATTTGTTGACAGTTCCGCGAAATAACGGGCTTCGAATTTCCGTCTAATATGTGGGTGCACATCAGTACGATACGGAAGTTGCAGTCGTTTCGTTAACGATCGCGAAGTGTTACGCAACACATTGATTGTACAGGTTGTTTCAAAAAGTCATGCCACGATTATCACAGTGTGATTCTACACCATTCATTTGGCGGAAAACAATATAAGCATGTGCTCGCAAAATTTGTCCTGATCTTGGAAAATGTTTTAAAAATTTGTTATTGTTGTATTATGCTGTACTGAAAGGAACCATGAGTTGAAAATGAATAGTCTGCTTGCAAATCGCTGTTGAATTTCTCATGGGAGAGTAAAGGAACGCGATATTTAGTGTCCTTTTCTTTCACACCACGGGTCACTAGACTCGACACCAAAGGACTTCGTCCTCAGTCAACTTGCGTCACATTCTGTCACTTTGTACCATAACAGAATGCAGTCATTGTACTCGCTATCCTAACTAATCAATATTTGTGTGAACCTAAAGAATTTAACAAAATTAAAAATCAAATATCTCCTAAATTAATCATTTTTTAACATACATAGCATGTTATAATCGTTGCGTTAAGCATTTTCTATAGATAATAAGGAATCACATCGAACAATGTACAGGAAAATATATAATTCCATTTTAAAAAAATGAAGATGACCTTAAAATCTTCAGAATTCCTCCACTTATGAAAAGTTAATACTGCTACACTATAGCTCTTAGTACGTTAAACAACTTGTATTAATAAGATCTTTTTACGTCTTCAGAAACAACGGGAATAATAATATTCTAATGAAATACCCTATGTAGTCACATTTAATAAATAATCAACCAGTCGAAACGAACGTTTTCGTTTAATTTCCTGTGATCTGGTATTTATTTAACCTGTTAACTGTGGATTAACACGTGAAGTATAATGCTAGGTCACTTCTGTAAATTTGTTTCCGCTTGTTATCTATATTACGGTACTTTTTTGGCGATAAGTAAACTTGAAATACTTCCAGTCCATTAAGGGTTAAACGATCGCAGACAATAAATTGGAAGGTGTGCTGGGTCTTAAAAACGTACTGTCCACAGACAATGTCTGTTCGCATGTCCAACGAACTGAACGGACAAGTGCGGCAGGAGAACACGACCACTCGCGGTGAACATTGACGACTCGGTTTCGATCACTTTTGTTATTGACTGATTCGCGTAAACGAAAATCGCGAATGAAACAGAATACGACAAAATCAAATACACATCTCACCCGAAATTACCTTATAATATTCATACCCGATACTTACATTATGTTATTGTTTATTTTCTTCTATATCTATTTAAAAATATTATTTGACTTACTGAGCGCAGTTGCTAACAGTACTGTCAAGTACAATGTATAGAAATGAGTTTCATTTAGATATCTTAGACTGGTATTAGTGGGACTAGTTTTTCCGTAGTTGCGATATACACGCTTTTACTTCACAAGTAAGACGACTGAATACTGATGTAGGTATTCACCTTTATAGTTAGTTATATATACAGGGAAAAGTTGTTCGAAATATTGATTTCATATCCAAAAATTATGTAAATTGTAAAGCAGGTAGTTTCTTTTAGAATTTCATCGAAATTCGATCGAAATCTGCAACAAATCGATGATAAGGATCAAAACATTAAATCGAATTTCATTTAATGAAATTGTGCATAATGTCTAATTAGAAATAAAGTGAACCGTTCTCTAAAGAGATCGTTCGTTGAATCATTCGTTGGTATTTTTCTGTTTCAGTCGTTTGCGGCGTCGGTGTGGATGTAGCCTATCATCGACATCTGATGGGATTATACGTTACGTGAGGATAAAATACGTACAAAATACTGAATACTTCTATTCAATACATAAAACTATCTATGAATACTCTGACAGTTTACATTTTATCATTTTATGGAATGTTAAATACTTTTACAATATGTATTTAAGAATTTATCAACTGTCGAATATAACAGTATCTCATTCATATATTTTTTTTTGATAAAAATGAAAACAGTTGCATTTACGATATTACAACCGAATAAGAAGTAAAGCACTTTCTGAAACACAGTTCAATAAACAAGTTAATAAAGCAATATTTATAAGCGTATTTTGTGGCTCAGTAAATGTATAAAAATATATTATTAATAGTATTACATAATTTATTCATCTACAATCTATACTGTAACAAATAAATACATGAATGGTTAAGAGTATTCTAAATGTATTTAAGTAGCAGGTATAAAATTTTAATGCATTTAGTATTTATTTCATTAACTGATCAGAAAGTATTTATGTATTTCTTATTCATGGTAGTATTGAATAAGAGTATTCTATAATTTAAGCGCAAAATAAATTACAAATTAGTAAAATATTTATGATCTGAATACTTTTTGAAATGCTTTTTGCCCATCACCGTTTACAACCAATTATCGGGATCCAGGGAAACGACTTTAAATTCACACGACGAGATTTGCTCATGCAAGATTTAGTTCTCGAAAAAATCAAGTGAAAAAATGTCTTCAAGTGGGGGGTATCCCCAATATCTGCAGAAAATGTCCTCGACGGCAATTATGATTCGAATTTACTTCCAGATTCCGATTGAATTATTACCTACCGGAATATTCCGGAATCCGAGACCCCAGAAGGGCTTGTGACCGCAGATTCTAGTTATTTATAAACACTATTCTCCGTTAATTATAAAACACTATGTACTTATTCAGCCTTCTACACTTTTAAGTTTCCCTTTACAATAACAATAGCATAAATCGAAAGTGATGCTTTTGAAACAATACGTTTGCCGCCAGCATTTGTCCCAGTAGTAGTCTTCATCATTACAATTTCTTGTTAACACGTTGAATGCCATGGGGGTCACCGGTGACCCACGACCTACTATCGAATTACTATAGTTCGCTCAATTAAACAACGATTATATGAAAACATTTATATATTATAAATAATACTACGTAATATGATGGCATTCAGCTAGATGAACGTGTAATAGTAATAATGCAATTCGATTAAATAATTTAATATTATATTTTTTCCATTCTGTGTATTTTCCTCTATGAAATCGTGCGGCTCAACGTGTTAAATGCAGCGTGTCGCCTTCACGAGAAACAAATGAGATTATAAAAAACATCTCTTCGAAACGCTTGTGAGAACAATCTACGTTTCGTTACACAAAATATTGATCGTCACGAATATGTGATGTTGGTAGCGGACGTGCTGATATTCATACGGGCTTCAGCTTTTTAAAATGCATACTGTAAACATTGATAATGAACCTCGGAATAATTACCATTCGAAATAACGAAGGAAAAGAAGAAATTATACAGTAATTCCTTTTACTCAATATCTCGTTCGATTATATTTCAGGTTGCGACGGTCGTATGCATGCAAAACACTCATTTCCATAGATACGGGCACAGTGCGATCTGCAACGGTACGCAACCCCAGATCGAAAAAATTTGCAATTTGTGGAACGCGCGTCAATAAGCATTAACTTAGAGTCACACTCGCTGTTGACTTCTGTCCGATTTGTCTGCGTTGCTTGGTACATGAACTAGCACGATTTACGAAGCGGTTTGGTAACGAAGTTTATTCCATCAAAGGGGTCTCGGTTCTGCTGATGCACGTTCCGAAATTAATATTAGCTCGCGTATGAGCGACCGATCGTCACTGACCGGTGTAACGAACACCCGAGTCTAGCGAGCCAACCCTTATCGATCAGTATTATGCACAAGTAACTACAGTGAGCCGGACAATATTATCTGATGTCACGCACATGTGTTTCATAATTAGTCTGTCTATTTACCGTGGTCGATATCACGTATTTTAAGATCTTACAATTAGCCGATTTATATCAAGTACACTGAAAAGTTTTTGCCGATTTTTGTTAAGCGAAATTTCTGGTATTGCTATAATAACTATCCGGCGACCGTAAACGATAACGCCTCTCGCATTAATCGAGGCGACCTTAGGTTTAAAAGTGCACAGGGGCAAGGGGACTCTTCTATTCGTGATGCTGGGGTAGCCTTGGCTTTTAACGCATGGTCATTATTGGCGCACGATAATAAGAAAGGACGGAAGCGTAACCGAATGCGATGAAGTGAAACGTAACGATAGAAAACAAAATCTCTATAGTTCCGTTTCACTCTTATACCTTATAAAAATGTCTTGCTGAACGGAACCGTACTGTGTCAGACTATATAATATGAAACGTCATTTAGAGGAAGATGAAAAATTGGCCGACTACCTACAAGTAAAAAAAGCAAAGAAACAAAATAAATTGCCCGTTTTTTCCGCTTAATACCCTTCACGAAGACTTCTAATACTTAGTATAGTAGGGCCTCTGTATTTGCAGGATATTGGTAAAATTGTTACAAATACCAAATGCATACGGCATTTTACACTAATCAATGCATCTCATTTTGTCGAATTTTGTTTCGTTCATGTTCTTTGTTATGAGATTAATCAACCCATAACGATGATTTGTCAAAACAGAAGTGTTACTGTTGCTATAGCTACTCGATTGGGCATCGCGAGTGGATTTAAGCTTGTAAGTAGTCGACGAACTTCCTACTTCCGTATAATATGCGTGACTTCGAGTCAATCAGCATCGATCATAAACCAATGGTCAGTTCCCCGGAAAAGGACGGTGCCTAACTCTTTTTCTTCAGCCCTTCCTACTGCCACGTGGGAAATATACACCGCCCCACCTGGTTCTATGCTTTACAATCTTCTGTTTTATTTCAGAGCAGCGGCCGGTTTGATCTTCTTCCTAGAGATCACGTGGGCCGTCACGCTGTTCGTGCAAATCTGTGTCAGGTATCGATGCATATTTGTTTCAATAAAACGTGTTCGCAGATCCTTTAATATACAGGGTGTTCCATAACATGAGGGGCATACTTCATCGGTGAAGAATGGATACAAAAACAATGAGAAAGGTAAACACAAATACATGTCAAACTTGATCTTGTCCCTGGAGTACAGTAGCACTTGCACTCTGTCGGCGTACCTGCTGTTTATCATCATATCGCAATCCAGTGTTGGCACGTTGCAAGTTTTAACCCTTTTGCTGCGACGGTGTTGGTCGCTGGTACGTATATACGAGAAAATTGTGTCACGAGTTCGTACATTGCAGCGAATCGAGTCTAACGTTTCTGTTACGTTACGTAAATTCACGTTAAACCCTTTCTTCCTCGATTATGTCAAATTAATATGACGAATTATAAACGTACGTGTCGTATAAAGGAAATTTTAAGAGTCAACTTAATCATGTTTCTCAAATAATGCAAAATTCTCATAAACTTAATCACATTTTTAACGATGCATGATTATATCTATAATCACGGTAAGTATTTGACATCGGGTGATCATAGTCGACTTATGTAATGAAAGAGTTGAGAAACGAAATTTTAAACGGTGATTTATATATACAAAATCATGAAAAGGAAGCTGAGTGAGGAGAAAAGCAGTTTGTTCTGAGACTATTAATGGATTAATTAGTAACGTAGTATCTGTAGCAAATCATGTTTTAGATATGTCTCATAATTAGTTGAGAAAGACGTATATAGAAATCCTCATGAGCCTCCTAGTGGGGAGTACAAAAGGTGTCGCGATAATTTAATACGGAGATATTCGCTAAATTCGTAACTTGTACGCTCGAAAACAAATGCGAACGGCGACAGCACGACATTTACAGATACCGGAGCTGTACAACGGATGTGATTATGTACGTCGCGCTACAGAGTTGCAAATGAGTGACTTTGTTCGTCTGATTTTGTCCAAAACTACATACCTACGTCATGCCTACTCGACTCGGTCGAACTGTTTCAAACACCCACTGAACTTATCCAACAGTGTGGGTGCAATAACAGGGGCGAAATATAATAATAGATCAAATATTTTTTAGCTCTTGTTACCTTAATGAGATTATCCTTCTGAACAATTATAGAATCACCTTCGCGTGAAGAACAATCCGCTGTAAAATTAAGTACTAAAGTAATTTTGAAGAATAAGTGGAATGTGTAAATATAAATGAATGTACGTATTCACAATCGAACGAAAACCAAATATTGTCCAACTTTATCCTTTATCTGCATGTCCTGGCCACAATTCCGAAATCACCATGAATTAAGCGAAAAAAATTCGAGAATAAAAACAATTGGAAAGAAGCCATCGTGGAATATGGAAATATTTCTGCATAGCTTTCTTCTTAAACTGAAGGACAAATTCGCAAAATAATCGTGATCCAAGATTGTTTTTAAGGAAAAATTCAGCTAAGGCTAGATTTCGTTAAAAAAAAACTTTTTATAAATAAATTGAAAAGTATTAAAATTTACATATTACAGATTTGTAAAAATAAAAGTTCAATGTTAAAAGCAGTTTTCATAAAAATTCTTCATATTTAGGTACATGAATAATATAAAAAGAAGCAAAAGTATTACTTACCTCCTTTTTTTATTATTGCTATTCTAATTTCTCACATAACGATCTTACGTTGTTCTTGTAATTATCGTATAACTATTTTCTTTAGTAGTATTTGAAAGAAATAGAATTTACATAATGCTTCTTGCAAATTACGTGAATGAAAGAATCGTGTGCTAGAATACATTTGATAAAAGGATAATAAAATCAATATTTATGAGGGAAGTTATCTAATTATTGATATTTTCGAATATAAAATTAATACTTGTACAATTCGATGTAACGATACTGACAGTGTTTAGCGATTATCTCAAAAACTAAATGAAAACGACATTTTTCTCAGAGGAAACATTGTTTAAATTTACGCCTTAAATGTTGAATCTTCTCTAAAAACAGAACTGGGGTGTATTATATGTAAGCAGTGTCCAAGCAACCAAATTTTTTTGTAAATTAATCATTTTCGGTATTTTGTGTCGCTGAATCCGAAAATGAGAGTCTATTTTCCGAAAAATGAGGGTCTTCAAAAATAGAGTATAAAAAATTAGTTTATGAGCTTTTTATTAGAAAACATATTATTACGACAAACTATGACGTTATGTGGTTATGTTATTAATTATCGAGTCTTGAGAGTTTCGAGTAGAATATTGTCGTCTAGTTGCTTGAAAGCAATAACACAAACACTGATAAAATTTATTGACAAGAAGTGAGGACCTCAATCCGAATTAGTCATTCATTAAATAATTATTAAAAGGAAAGCTTCATTTAGGTAATAGAAACTGTTAAAAATTCAGAATGTACTGTTAAAATAAAATATTTATACTAAAGAATTTTCAACTATTTTTGTATTCTATTTATAAGACTGTCCATTTTCGTAAAAAGACCATGACTTGAATAAGAAAAATTGCTGCTGAGTACTGATGGTGCATCCTAGAATCGTCTTGATTAATATTTCACACTAACTGTGCTTATGGTAAAACCACGTAACCACCTCGCAACTGAGGCTTTAGAACTATTTAATTAGGACTATTTATACTTTCTTGGCCCACTGTAATTATGCATGCTCTATGTCTTATTCATATTTGATATACAGTCATTAAATTTTAAATGTGGAAATATTATGATGGAAAATTAAAATTTAATATTATGGCAAGAAAAATTCAATACTAATTTCTAAAAAAAAACATCTCCGTATTTATATATTAGAATTAATACTCTTTGTAAGAGTCACATATCAAGATTTATCTGCTTTCAATCAGTTTCAATCATTCGATGTTCCCTTTTTACGAAGCCCTGACACGTACGTGCACGAGGAAGGGGGACGGAATTCTCTATTGCTTATTCAACAAACTTCACAAATTGTATCAGACACGTTCTCTCTTTAATTGAGTTATCACTATTTTGCAAACCCGTGGTTTGCATCTTCGATTTTCAGCAATAACTATTTTTAGAGAATAAAGAACGTGTACTGGATTGTATTATAAACTTGTAAAAACTGGCACGGAAACTTTGCAAAGGATTCAGACAGCTTTTGAAGATACTGATTTGAATCGTTCAAAACTGTACGAATGGTAAAATAGATTTAAAAGTGATCGAACGTCAATTGAAAACGACCCACGACCTAGAAAGCTTTCAACCTCAACAATAGAAAGAACAAAGCAGGAAATCAATGCCTTGTAAAAAACGTCGACTAAATACGATAAGAGAATTTTCAGACAGTGTGAATATTTTGTATGGTTTAGACTGGGCCATTTTCATCAACTAAAATACTACAAAGCTTTTCTTTTAATTATCTATTCTATGTTATCTTATAACTATTTTCGGTGAGCTAACAATCAAATTTACAACTTGTAAATATTTCCTGTGTATGCAGGACACTCAATACTGTTTTCACTTCATTCTGATTCTACACCGAATGTCTTCTAGTTTATAGAATTTGCATTAAATATTCCAAAAGTTTATTTGAATGTTTCTTGAATTTACTTTTCTAATATGTTACGTGGTATATAATATGTTACTTCAAATATAGTATTATAGTACTCACATAATTTTTGGTATAATCTATAATTCATACAGTAACAATTAGGTGTTCATACAATAATATTTTATTTTATATTCAAATTGTTTTAAATTTTCGCATAAAATGTAAGTAAAGTAACAACGCCACTTATTGTAGAAAAATTGAAACAAACTGAAAAAAAACAATTTAATTGTATATTTAATACGTATTATGAAAACAAGTAATTTTTAAAATTTTTACAAAAGTAAGGGTAACGGCCGTATCGTCGTTATTTGGTTTCCAGAAATAATGGGTTATAATGGTTGATTAGTTTCTTCTCTATGTACAAAGTGCAATAAGAGTAAATGTAAAGGTCACTCTGGATCTGTGATGATTCGAAGAAAAAGAATTTATACAACATTAACCTTAACGGTCAGATACCATATTGAGAATTTTATTTCATTGACATTTAACTATTTGCATTGTACTTCCACGTCCGATAATATAAAACGAATAATTTTAAACTGATCTGTAGTAAATAACTGTGGAACATCTTTTCGGGCATAGGGTACAGGGCACTCGAACTGAAAAGATTGTCGAGCCTCGGGCCATGTCGACCTTGAGATCAGTCGAGCTCTTAAGACTGTTTTATCCATCATAAACCCACACACTCCTAGAAAAGAATCCGTGACTTTCCGAAAACCTACTACTACTACTGAAAGTTCTATCGCAGGTGGTCTGGTTGAAAAGGAATTCTATAGTTTTCAAGCGTGTTTAGTAGTAGCATCCCATGCTGCACGATACGTATTGGGCGACGCGAATCGCGATTCAGGAATCGTAGTGTGAGAGCAGCCTTACGCTTATTCTGAATATTTATTAGGATTCCTGGATTAGACTGGCTAGATTACTCTCGATTCTCTCGATTCCTAGCCAGATTTCCAATGTATTTTATAACATATTACATACTATACTATCTGGTTTCGTGTAGTAAACAGAATACATTTTTTGAATATTATTTGAATAATTTCTTACACGAGTAATAGCAGAAAACGTGCTCATATCAGTCTTGCTGAAATATGTTGTTTATTAATTTTTGTCAGTGAATGTAAGGATGGGAGTGTTGTTAAATGTAAGGAATACTCACGTTTCTGTTGCTGGTGGTATAGAGTAAGAAAACAATTTCTAACTAAAATTTTACGTACATTATTTTTGGGTTTTCGAACATCGACTGGTCAAGTGAAAATAAGAAATTCTCAGCTACTTTCGTTGAACGGCGACAACAGCAAATTTGTATTTATTTGTTAAACATCAATAAGCAAAACTCTTCTGATTTTATGTCCTATCTTAACTTATTTAATTTGGTCAAACATGATCTGTATCTCAACGTTTCAATATCGTTACTCAAATCGCTCGCCCCAAGTGGAATGAGTTAAAAATTTGAAAAGCCTTATCTACCCGCATAAATTTACCTGATTGTAGTTAAAACTGATTCTCTGATCCTGAAATTTCCATTCGCTTTAACCTTTCGTGCACATTATAATTTGAATGTACCTACTCCTATTGTACTCGATGCTCATTTGTATATTATTTTTTATTTATATTATTAATATTTAATGCCAATTTTTGTTACACATGAAATAGTACTTACTACAATATATTCTTGAAGCATTAAAATTACGTACCTCACAGTCACAAGAGTTCTGTTTATAAAATTATCTTCATGTAATTAAAAATAAAATAATATGTATGCAGTAAACAGATTAGTTCGAATTTTTATTTAATATGTAACATTAATAAACAAAAAGTTTTGTATGAAATATAAATTAAACATATCCTCTGCATAATTTAATAAGAAAATGTAGGAATAATTGAAATAACTCTGTTTTCAAAGTAACTTTTAACTCCTTAACTATCGATTTCGTGACTCTCACGGGCTAGCTCAACACGTGCGGTCTGGTCTAACATTTAAATACCTAAATTGTTTTTAATTAAAAGTGTTTATTAATAACAGTACATAACGAAAACAATCAACACCCAACGATTTGTGATTTATTCAATGGTTTCGCTGTTTTCCTTTACTTCTATATTCTAGTTCGTGTCATGAAGTAAAAAACTTAAGCACTGCAAGAAGGATTTCTTTAATTTAATTCGACAGTTAAGGAGTTGATAATCAAATCTCCAGTAAATCATTCGATTACACTCGTTTCTACAAATTGACTGTCCTTCGTTTTCCCAAATTCAAAGACTTATTCTCAACGCATTCGTGTCTCACACATTTGTTCGTTCTATTTACACATTCACACCAGGCGGTTACAATTAGCCACGCTAGTTCAGACATTGATTTTATACATTGATATTTAAAAAACAATTGTCTATCCAGAAAGTCATGACACGCGATAACTGTGACACAAGAGTTGGATGAAATAAGAGATATGTTTATATAAACTTTTTCATTGCTTTTGTGTCCCTTACGTAGACCAGAAACGGCCACCACGTGTTATGAAATTCCCAGTACAAATAAATATAATCAGTTTTCGTTACACGGATAGTGAAGTATGGCTGTGAAAACTTTAAGTGTTCAGTGTCATAGTCATTTTTAGTGACAGAAGAAAGTAGGAAGAAAAACAAGTACACATTGATGTTTCAGAAACGACGAGTCACTTTGTTTCTGTTGCTGGTCTGGTGTACTAGCGATAACGAACGGCTGGCGAAGAGCATTGTTTTATCTACCGTTGTCCTGTGCTCTAGCGTGGAAACCACATAATCTATGGCTATCCTACGTTGCTGGTACTTGTAAATCGTCTTTGTATTTTTCAACTTTAGCAATTTAATTAATGCACTACAAATCTTATGAAATAAATTTGAAGTAAAACTACGTGTTATTGTTCCTCCGACTATTCCCGCTTTGCTTCTTTTGTTCACAGCCGGATTGTTGGCAGCACTGTCTCTATTGCACATTGTCTCCAGCGCTTTGGAGGATCGGGCTTTGGCATGCCAAATGAATAATGCGGATTCGGTAGCTGAAAGTCTTTTGAACACCAGGTCCGAACATTACGATCGTTTTGAAGAAGTTCTGGTAAGTGAACGTTGTTAACGATAATTTGCGTATTAAATATAGTCAACTCCAATGTTACGATCAGATATATAATTCAAAGACAATAATATCTAATCAGACAATATAATCCAAGGAGCATTTTTAATTTTCTGCACTTGTTTAAATTATATTAGAGGAAGAGATGGTAATTTGGCCTCCAAATTGAATTTTTTCTCTACAATTTAATTCATAGTATCAATTGCTTCAAATCTTTTCATAAAATGTAATCCATTAATGAAATGGTTACACGAAAACAACTCACGTAGTTGAAAACGCATAGTGTAGAATACGCACAGTTCATAATCTGTACTTACAGGATGTTTCTAAATTGTAGTGCACAATATATAGGGCGTATACAATTTATTAAACTGAGAAAAAAAACCACAGTTAACATGGGTCGGAAGCTCAGTAGTTTCCGAAATAATAGATTTTGTTTAAAAAAAGAAACAATGCACGAGGACCGCATTAAGAACACTGAATTATCTTGTAAAATATCAGTGATACGAACGAATATGTCAAACAAATCTTACATAGTATGAAATAGTACATACATAATTTTAATCTTCTAACCAATTTAATTCCTGCGAGACACGCACCGATAACAGCAACAATTTTTAATAACGACCATCGTTTTACAAGGTGACTGAAGTCATGGATGATGGCATGACAGGACCGGCAGGGAGAATGGACAACAACGATGGGGAAATGTGACACGATCGTCGGCCCTCTTGGGCGAGCGAGTCAGATGAGGATAGTGAACCCGAACAAAGGACGTGTCAGATAGCAACGTTGACTTAGTCCTTGATGCGGGAAAGGAGAGACGCTAATTTCAGTGTCTCGCGAGAGTTACCAAGATGAAGGCTGTCGGTCTATCCACAATGTCAATCGTGACGTGGTTGAAACAAAATTCATGACTCTTTTTTATGAGACTGGTTCTTTATTGTGCATTGCACACACCAATAACGAGGTCAATCCGAGACTTCTGCCGGAGATCGATTCATTCTAATATATAGAGTGTCATATATTGTTCGTCTGTAAGTACAATTACTTCCGGAATTACTCGTTATTTAAAAAATGTCTCAAATTCAATTTCTTTCTTTCGAGAGAGCGTTAATTCAGTACATGTTGGTATGTTTTTGGGTGAACGTGTGTAAATAGTGCTGTAAAACGCTCGAGTCTTCGAAGCTTCAAGACTTAACAAAAGGCTCAGTCTTGAAGACTTGGAATTCAATAAATCTCGAGTCTTTGATCAAGACTCAATCTTGAAGCTTTGAAAGCTTGAGCTGAACCTTGAAAGCCATCAACGCTCGAGTTTTTACGCCCGAAAGACTTGAACCGTCTGTTTCTATATTAGGTTCGAGTATTCAAGCTTAAAGACTCAAGCTAATATTGAAGACTTCGGCTTTTGCTGAAGCTCTGAAGACTCGAGGCTCAGAGCTCATTATTAGAACAATACGCGTAGGAGATATGAAAGGTAACTATGTGTTATTTTTTCAAGTATAATCATGTAATTTCCTTTGCATTAATTGATGGACCAGGTCATTCTCTAAAAAAAAGTATTAACCTATCTACATCGAAAACCCATCAAAACAGAACAAAATTATATTTAAAACATTTTTTAAATAATGAATAGTTCCAGAAATAATTTAATTTATAGATTAATACTGGACACTATATATAACTACAACCGCTTGTACGGTCGTTAGTGAGATAGAATATTGACCTACGTGTAATTTTTGTCGTTCCGTACAGTGCTGTAACTTTCTAATTAATTCGCATTTCTTACAATGAAAATATCTTGCGTTTATATGCAAATATCCTAATTATGAAATGTTTTGAGATAATTTAATTGTTAATAGGTACAGTAAATTGAACAATATGAACAATATGTGATTGGAGTGAAGAATCAATAAAATACATGTGGGATTGGGCGGTACTTTTAAGGTTTATCAAAAATTAATTAACAAGATAAAAGTATTAAGAAGACAAAAAATGTGTGTGCATCCGCTAATGCTCGCTGCAGATTCACGCTTCAGACTTGTTTACTTTAAACTATCGACACTGTTCTCCCGACTGCCTTGGGCTCGAATTTTCATGCACTTTTATCATGCATTCACAATCACTTTTTTATTCTTTTCACGCGTATCCTTTTCACTTGCATCTTATTCCTTTCATCCATAGCTAAAACTTACGCAATAACATATACGCTCCACTAATCATTTCATTCTCATGGTCTAAGTCACCCGGTTCCAAACATTCTTCCTTCACACATTTCCAGCTATTCGAGATCAGGAGGTCTGCAGTAATACTTTCCTAAAACATACTGTAGCAGGACGACACCGGCCACACACCCGAATAGTCATCTCATATCTTAAGCAATTGAATTTTACAATATAAGTACTGTTCTCCAAGGACGTTTGGTAACTTGTCCCAGGAACTAAAGGGACAAGTGCGGCAAGAGGACACGTCCACTCGCGATGAGAACGTTGACGCCTCGGTTTCGGCCGCGTTTATTATTGGCTGATTCGCGTAAACGAAAATCACAAATGAAACAGAATATGACAAAGTGAAATACAAACAAGAGTTGAGCATCGAGAGTCCAGACGCAGGACTTCAAAGTGATGCCACACGCGTCAAATATAAACGTGCAATAAAGGAAATATCAATTTCATTAATTTCATTGTTACTTTCTCGAACGTAATGCAAGTGAATTGTTGACACTATTGTGATTAATAGGTGATTATAAGGAAATGAACCTTCAATTTTGGTAATTACATTGAGTCAGTAAGTCTACTCCGATTTGCATCGTGTTTGGCACTACGTTTGAGTGCCATCCACCGGCACTATGTTTGAGAAAATAAGAATGAAATTAATGAAATTGATATTTCTTTCATTGCGTGCTTATATTTGATGTGTGCCGCATCGCTTTGAAGTCTCGGGCCTCGACCCACGATGTGTCAACCCTTATTTGTGTCTCACTTTGTCGTATTCTGTTTCATTTGCGATGTGAGTTTACGCGAATTAGTCAATAACTGAGGCGTCAACATTCATCGCGAGTGAACATGCCCCCCTGCCGCACATGCCTGTTCAGTTCAAGGAATAAGTTACCAAACGTCGTTGGAGGACAATACTTCGTCGCGACTGATTAACAAACCCTTTTGACGACGGATAGTCGTCGCTTTTGTCACAACGCGTTTCTTATCGCTGTATTTTAAGCCTGTGGCTTAAAAATGAAGAGTACGCTCCACCTCAGCTCGTGGCTCGTCTAATAACAAGAACGTGTCGAAACCGAGTCCCAATAACGATCAAGCCGAGCGCTGCGAGTGGATGTCTCCTCTTGCCCCTATTCACTTTTGAGCCACAAACCGGCTTAACTAACGTAAGATCCCTAAAGTACATAGTATATGTAATGATAATTTACTTTGAAAAAAATACTGATGAAATATTAGGTAATACTGTAAAACCGATTTTCATAAAATTAACAAATGTTATAGAAATGGACATTTTAAATATCTCTTTCCTGTGAGAAAAAGAACGCTCTCTGATAGCTTCTGAGGTAATCGTTGAAAACTTTCGCTGTCACTAAATGGGATTCTATGGATATTATATGAACATCGCGGTAATTTCGTATTTTCTTTCGCACATATAGAAATGAGTTTCACTTGCATAATGTAGATCGGTATGAATTGGTCTGTATGTCGGTATTATGCAAATCGTTAAAGTTTTTAATGTTCAAAAATTTTACGTAGACTATTGTATAAGAATTCTGAATTCAAGGAATAATATAAAAAATTACGAAGCACTCGCATGTTTGGGGTTACTTAGAAATTTACATTAATTAATTTTTATAAATATTATACATCAGTTTACAAGAAAAACACGAACAGAATTAATGATTTTTGATATATCTTTTTTCCAATTTAATATTCGGAAAAACCGCTTGAATAATTAAATCTGTTGTTAATAGGCATTTAAGTTTTGTTCGAACAAGATGAATGATTTTCGAGATATTGAGGAAAACATGATTTTCATTTGCAACTTTGAGGGTTATTTTCATCCCTTAAGTATGGATCATTACGGAAAAAAGTACGTGTTAAATATTTTTCTATAAACTATTTGATATGTAAAAGGTACAGCAGAATAAGGGGGCCAAAAGTGCCCTTAGACCGATTTTACTCGTAAAAGCTACGTTCGATAGCTTACCCGTAGAAAACATTGTACACCAATTTTCAGCCCTTTGTCTCAGTCAGAAGGGTAGTTACAGGGTAAATTTGAATTATCAGTTTTTGTCCTGTTTTCTCCATTTAATAGTGCCTAGAAATTCTGAAAAAAAATGCTGGGACATTTTTGCTATAGCAAATATGGTCGAGAATTTTTTTAGATTTTTCGGTTTCAAAACCTTAGCATGAAACATGAAAAATCCCTAAAACTGTAGGAAAATGTAGATTTTGTATTGAAGCTTCCGAACAACAACTTTTTAATTTTTATAGTATGCGGGTATGTTAATATGACTGACAGTCATTGCCAATTTTTTCAATTTTTTTTTGCCTGCTGCGACATAGCTAAAAAAATAGAAACCTAGTTTTTCGACGTATTTCAGGAAGAAACATAATCAGTACCATTTTTTTTAAACAGTGTGCCTATTATGAGATTTCGAATATACTTGCATTTGAAAAAATAATCTGTTAATGAAAATAATCAAGTTATTATAATTAAACCTAAACTCTCGATTTACACGGTACATTGGCTCCCGGGAACTGCCGTGTAAATCGAAGCGTGCAGTTCGAGTCCACAATTCACATTTTGAATTTTCTTGCACCTTTACGTTTAAGATTATGATTTATAAATCAAAAGCTTTTTTAATGTATACTGATGAACGTGTTGTAACCACCGAACAGGTAGGAGAACAGTACGTTCTAAGATGGAGTTTAAAATTCTTCTTTGATCTTATGCATTTCTGATTCCACTTAGTATAAAATATATTACAAGAAACTACCAGTATCACTCTTTTTATCTCATGAGGATTTCTTTTATATACCATGTACTTAAATACATCTTCTTTCAATTCTTTGTCTTTCTACAGTATTCTCGCGATTAGTACCCAGTCTGATCTGCAGTATTAATGCCCGGTAGTCACTCCCACTATTGAGAGGTGAGTCCTCCCAGCAAGCTGAGAAGTTCAGCGGTCGAGCATTTGTAATATGATAAGCAATTTATTTACGGTAGATATCGGTGAAACAATATTAATGCAATTGTTACGAGCTGAGGGTTGGCAATATAATTGCCTGACCGAGGATCGTTGGCACCAGGTAAATCAAAGATGGGCCAGTGTCTTTTTTACCACTGAGTGCTTCGATTGGAGTAGAGAAATCGTAGATAGACCAATGTCTCTTTCACCACTAGATACTACGATTGGAAGTAGGAGTGATTTTGCCTTGTAATTCTTTTAAAAATTAATGAGGTACACGTCGAGCGACTAAAGTGTACGTTGTGAAAATGTACTAACACTGCAATTTCAAAGGATGTGATCGCTAAAGAAAGTTGAATTCAAAACTAGAGGAAACCATTTAAATATATTCTGAAGGAAAATTATGTAGTACAATTGTTGATGTGTGTTGTGTCGCGGAATCTAAGTCGCGTTGTTTCGGTTTTAACGCACTGAGAAATGCAAGGGGTGGTATCAGCAGTAATTATACGTACTGTTAGACTATGTTCGAAAGAAACTAGAAATCCGATCACACGATACGTGTGTGTGCTTCCAGAAGAAGGAAAAGGTAACGCACGAAAACTCCATACGTAACACAATTATAAAACTTCTTTGTAAGAGTATTTTTCCAAATAAAACTTTTACTAACGCACTTGTGAGATTCTTCTGATTACAACAAAACAAAACAGGACATACTTTTACTTACAATTTACTAGAAGAAAACTGATTATTGTAATTTATTAAATAAATAAATATGATCAAAGATATATTGTGTTTGGTCTCGTTTTAATCAGAAAAACCTTGCAATTCAATTGGTAAAAATTTTAATTAATAAATATGAAACATAGAAAAGTTTAACATTGCATTAATGTCTGCTCATTCGTCTGTTTGTTTTGATCGTTCCGAAGGTCGAGCGTCTCGCTCTTTCATTCGCGTTGTCCTTTTCTACAAAAGACAAATAGAAGACTAACAGCACTGCACGATACTATATCTAATCAAAACTAACTCACTAAAGATTTTTTTGAGAAGAGTCGGTTCTTTTAATACTCATTTGGTTGTAATATTGCAAATAAAATTAATGTAATTTTTGCATTTGTCTGACCTGACCGCGTTCACGTGAAATACAAGTGCCATGTAAATGGAAATTCTTCCGCCGTTCTTCGACCATGTGAAACCGAAATTGTGCAATTAAAGTGCCCTGTAAATCGAGGACTAAGTGTAATTCAAAACAAATATATCATATATCTATCACAATATCAACAACTCCTACAATGATGGTTAGGTTATCTGATTGTAAAACTGTTGCAAACCTTTATCACCTTTTTTTCAATAGGTTTCACCATTCTTTTACATTTTTTTTCAATTCTTAACTAAATTATAGTAATCAATATTCATTTAAGACTATTCTTAAAATGTTTTAATAATATTTCGTCTCGATATATACATAAAAATTATTTTGGAGCACGTCTTCTGCTCCGCTTGCTTTCCCTCTCACGCTGCGTCTTATTTAAGGTATTGTTCAATATTTTATACATTCAATCAATTTTGGCTCATTTTGGATATGTAAAAGTAGATACTGTAAATTAAATAGTTATAATTTTATACTCGTCAATGAGTTGATGCCAAAAATATGTGGAATATTTTGAAATAAAGTCACTGTTTGGTTCTACCATTCTTCTACCAATGTACACTATTAATAATTAAAAAATATTGACAAACGTTGATCAATTAGGATAATGTTTATAAAACCATACAATTGTTAAATTTCATTATGCAATAATAATTAATAAAATTGTTACAGGAAATATACGATTTTTTAGGTACAAATGAATTTATTCCATTAAAAACAAAACATTTTTGTGATAACATTTTACAGTTAAACCTCTTTTGATTAATTTATAAAAATATCGTACATCATTGATTGTGTGATTATAAATATAAAAAGAGAATATCTATATTTCACTAAAACTACTACTAACTCATTTTCTTCTAAACATAGACTTACACCACTTTCAAAAAAGACGGCTCATATGTAAGGCAAAAACAAAACTAACGAATATTCTTTAATTATTAATAGTGCACAGCAAAGGTGTTTAAATTGATGCCCGCAGACACTATAGTGACACTCCCCTCACGAAAAATTACCCTCTTCATATGTACTTTTACCTGTTTGTGTTGGACACTACATAGAACTGCTCACATGTACAGTCTCATATAGCTCCTTGAGTAAAGATAG